ATATATATTTTTCACCCTCCCTAAAGTTCATCCTTTGGGTTTTCCCTATGTGAAGGGTGATCTGGTACATTATTATTCATACAGAACCAAAAGAGAAGGAAGAGTTTTGAACAAATAAGACAAGGTTTCTGCCCTGAAGAACTTACAGCAGGGGTAATAAATAGGCGACCGTGGGCCAAATCTGAACCCCCAGCTGCTTTTGAATGGACCCCAAAATCTTTTTATTTATTTACTTATCATTATTGTTGCTTTTTTATTATTATTATTTTCTCTAGAGTCTGGACCTTGACAATACCTTGACCAAGAAATCTGGACCTTGACAACAAATAATTGATTACCCCCTTCTTACAGTCTAATTAGAGAAGGAATTGATGAGGGATATGGAATGGCACATGAAAGCAAGTGAAACAGCAATGAAATACCGATTTCGGACACAGCTTGTTAGCTTCACCTTAGATGCATTTTTGATTAGCACCCCTCAGCTGGTGGGATGGGGAGAGCAAATTTTCTGGGGAAAGTGTGTTTTAAAGAAGAATGTGGAGGTAAAGTTTGATCTACAATGAAACACTTGAGTACACTTCACAAAATGCTGGCATGTTTTATAAGTAATTGGGAAAAAAGACTGCACTTCCTTACTAGATAGTTGCTGTATTTATATTCTTTTTTGTCAAGGGATGACAATCCTTTTGTGTGTACATCAAGGCTGGAGTTCAAATTTAGTTCAGATAACTCTCAATAGTTAGTTGCTTACCTAGAGTTTATATGAACTACTTAGGTCTGCAAAGCTGAGCTGGAAATCTATAAAGAACAGGCTTTGTGATTCCAGTGGGGCAAGAAATGCCCAAGAACAGCTTCTCCTGTGGTACTTTGCACCTGTTCCAAGTTTTGGCTGGGATCTGGAAGGGCAGAGATGCGTGAAACGGGGTAGGGGAATCTCTAGAACTCAAGAAATATTTTATCCAGGCTTGTTCACTCATGCGTATATAAGTGGTACACAACTGCACCTCCTCAAGAGGAGCACCGAAGTATACTATGCTTCAGAGAGAGACAATGCCTCCTCAAGTTCCCTTGCACAGCACACGGCAGGAGTGAATTCATTGCCTCGCTCTTGAGGAGGATGCAGCATGCACTCCCATGCATATTCCAGACAGCTCCATTGCTATAGAGGGAAGGCTGGACTGTGGCTCTACTGCCTCAACACCTTTGCTCGTCCCTTTACGGGGTAGCTGGAGTCACTGAGGTTACTAAAAGGATTGCGGTTGAGACCAGCCCCTCCACCTTGTACCCTATTATCTAGCCCTTAGAATGTTTAAATTCGCCTTATGGCACAGTTCATTTATATCTGATCATCATCTCAATTAACCACATTCAGCCCAGGCATCATAAAGCATGACTCCCGTTGACATCACTGGGAGTTGTGCTGGTTTACACCACAGCCGAAGATTCCCATATTGATGACAAACATACTATTGCTAGACTTCAACTCAAACAGAGTACAGCAAGTGCTGTATCCTGAGGAAACCAGTTAAGAGTGTTACTAAAAATATACAGAAAGGCAAGGAAATGAAAACTCAAAAAGAGCCTTACTGCCATTTATTCCACTCCAGTTAAAGTGACAGTGATAAAAGTGTCTGTGAGTGGAATAGCCTCTTTGGAGAACAGTCATTTTCCAGCTTGCCTTCCACATTAAAGAGACACTTTTAAGACTAATTTGGCCCCCAAATTTAAATTTTATTAAATTGAGTTTTTACAGATTCTCAGACAGGTAGAACTGTTTCCAGGGAATAAAAAACAAAATATATGGAAATGGTTATTTTTAAAAAAATTAGCATTGCCCTACATTGTTCGGAACCTAAACATGGATTCACCAAGGGCAAGTCATGCCTGACCAACCTGATTGCCTTCTATGATGAGATAACTGGCTCTGTGGATATGGGGAAAGTGGTGGACGTGATATACCTTGACTTTAGCAAAGCTTTTGATACGGTCTCCCACAGTGTTCTTGTCAGTAAAAAAAGTACGGATTGGATGAATGGACTATAAGGTGGATAAAAAGCTGGCTAGATCATCGGGCTCAACAGTTAGTGATCAATGGCTTGATGTCTAGTTGGCAGCCGGTATCAAGCGGAGTGCCCCAGGGGTCGGTCCTGGGGCTGGTTTTGTTCAACATCTACATTAATGATCTGGATGATGGGATGGATTGCACCCTCAGCAAATTCGCTGATGACACTAAGCTGGGGGGAGAGGTAGATATGCTGGAGGATAGGGATAAGGTCCAGATTGACCTAGACAAATTGGAGGATGGGGCCAAAAGAAATCTGATAAGGTTCAACAAGGACAAGTGCAGAGTCCTGCACTTAGGACGGAAGAATCCTATGCACTGCTACAGGCTGGGGACTGACTGGCTAAGCGGCAGTTCTGCACAAAAGGACCTAGGGATTACAGTGAATGAGAAGCTGGATATGTTGCCAAGAAGGTTAATGGCATATTCTGCGGCATTAGTAGGAGCACTGCCAGCAGATCGAGGGAAGTGATTATTCCCCTCGATTCGGCACTGGTGAGGCCACATCTGGAGTATTGCATCCAGTTTTGCTCCTGCCCCACTACAGAAAGGATGTTGACAAATTGGAGAGAGTCCAGCAAAGGGCAACGAAAATGATTAGGGGGCTGGGGCAATGACTTACGAGGAGAGGCTGAGGGAACTGAGTTTATTTAGTCTACAGAAGAGAAGAGTGAGGCAGGATTTGATAGCAGCCTTCAACTACCTGAAGGGGGGTTCCAAAGAGGATGGAGCTAGGCTGTTCTCAGTGGTGGCAGATGACAGAATAAGGAGCAATGGTCTCAAGTTGCAGTGGGGGAGATCTAGGTTGGATATTAGGAAAAACTATTTCACTAGGAGGGTGGTGAAGCACTGGAATGGGTTACCTAGGAAGGTGGTGGAATCTCCATCCTTAGAGGTTTTTAAGGCTCATCTTGACAAAGCCCTGGCTGGGATGATTTAGTTGGGGTTGGTCCTGCTTTGAGCATGGGATTGGACTAGATGACCTCCTGAGGTCTCTTCCAACCCTAATCTTCTATGATTCTATGATTATGGCATTGTGCTACTGCATAAGAACCTGAAAGTGAAAGGAATTTACTATTAGAAGCGAAACTGACTATTATATTGCTTTATTGTCCAAGAGGAGAAATGCAAAAAAGGTTATATTTATACCCAACCAGAAGAAATAGGGAAATTTAACAGTGAATTACATATCCATATTCATTCTACTTCAATAATCTAAGATGTTTTTTGTAGTATAGATAAGGGATTTTTTCCTAAATATATGGGGACAGCTTTTGAGACTGTTACTTACTTTTTACTCAGTTTTTACTCTGGGCATCTCCTGTTGACTCCATTGGCATATCCTCTGTGTGAGGACTTCAGGATTTGACTCATGGCTTTTAGACCAACAGTGTTCCTTAAATGCTCAGGGGGATGCATATGTCCACACTTTTCAATGAGTTAATGTATATCTCAGCTGAGAAAGATCTCTGCATGGGATTTTCAGAAGCCCTCAGTGCTGGCATAACTCTGCTTCAATTGAAATGAATGGTAAAGCTCCCTTTGACTTCAATGGGAGTAGAGTGAGTCCAGTGCTGAGCGCTTTTGAAAATCCCGCCTCCTGATTGGAAACTCCTTTGGGCTGATATGTTATCTCTTTATTTGATTGTAAATTGCCTAGCACTCTTTGGTCACTATGGGTTATTGACTTCAGTGGAATACTTGGGGGAGAAGTGCCCATCGCTTAGGGTGACCAGACAGCAAATGTGAAAAATCGGGACGGGGTGGGGAGTAATAGGAGCCTATATAAGAAAAAGACCCAAAAACTGGGACTGTCCCTTTAAAATCGGGACATCTGGTCACCCTACCATCACTGTGAGTACTGGTTGCACAATCTAGACCTACACAAATAATAATCTTAACAATAAATAATCCATCAAACTGACTGTATAACTCCCTATTTTGGAATTAATGGTCTGTGCTGTCTATACACCATTTCTATTTCATGGGACACACTCTTTGTATATTAGTATAGCTGAGTTTTCCACAGATGGAATGGAAAGGAGGAGAGGAAGCATGGCCCTATGGTTAGGGTACTTGATTATGTCTTGGGAGACCTGGGTTCAAGTGCCTGTTCTGCCACAGACTTCCTTGGACAAGTCACTTTGTCACTGTGTGCCTCCATTTCCCATCTGTAAAATGGGGATAATAGCACTTCCCTGCCTCACAGGGGTTTTGTGAGGATAAATACATTAAAGAATTGTGAGGTGCATAGCTACTATAGTGAAAGGGCCAGGTAAGTACCTCAGACAGACTGGGGATGGTGTCATTCATAAACATTTCACGTTGTTTGATTAGCCAGCCCACAGTAGGAGTGATTGGCTCCTTCTTATAAATCAAGTGTACAATAGATAAGAGCAAACAAAGAAGCAACTTGAAGACAAAATCTCACACTTGGATTTCTCCCAACTTACCACGCAAAAGCCACCGAAAGGCAAACATTTCTTGCAGATGAGATATTTCGGGCTAATATGATTACATGCTGCAATATGATAGCCATTAGGAATCCTTCATAACCAGTGTGTTGCCAAGTGTCGCGTGAGACAACTTCTACCTCTGAACTGGTTAACTCCAGTTGCTCCATTACTGTATCTTTGAGAAATTCCAGAATTCTGGAAAAAACAAGTACACAGTCGTATTTATCTGTCAGGCCAGCTAGCACTGTAGTGGTGTGCATTTCAAACAAGAAATTATTTCATGCCTATTCAGGGATTAGTCTATCTGGGTTAATACTTGCTCCTCTCACAGATGGCAGCACCAATAGGAATTATTACCATTGTTTTACAACTCTGATAATCACTCGCTTTCATGCCTTTGAAACTGCAAGCAGCTTGTTTCAGTAGTTTACTTGCCACAGTTATATTACTCATACTCTGTTCCTTGCTTTGTTTTCTGGTAGAATACATACACGAATGCAGACAAGCTTTTAGAGGCTGCAGAGCAGTTGGCTCAGACTGGGGAATGTGACCCTGAAGAGATCTACAAAGCAGCCCGGCATCTGGAAGTGCGGATTCAGGACTTTGTCCGGAGAGTGGAACAGAGGAAACTTCTCTTGGACATGTCTGTCTCCTTCCACACTCACACCAAAGAGGTAAGATGCACGTGATGGAATTTCTCTATATTGCAAAATGATGCAACAGACTGACTCAATGTACAAAGTGAAAACTCAGAGGACACAAACAGGATGCATTTATTGCACAGGGCATATGCCAAATTCCTGCCTTGTTTGATTTGGATGCTTTGGCCCTAACTGCAGTAGAGAGGAGAAATGTGCTTAAGCCATTTTTATGCATGATATGGAACAATAGCATAGTGAGACATTATAGCAAAAACAGACCAAACAGTGGTTAATTCACAATTAAAAGGTGGCACTGTAAAATAAGTGGCCAGTCATATGTGTTTGAGATCTAAGAACATCAATTAGGATAAACTCATTAGACATAAACATGCCTGCAGTAAAATATGTACTCCTTGAGGTAATGTAGCATTAATTAATGTAACCACTGTTACTGTTTCTAGAAAAAATAACAAAGCCATTATTAGTAAGTGTTACTAGAAAAATTAAAGTGGTTAATGAAGCTGATTTTTGTTTTCCAAATTAACCATAAGGAGTCACAAGCATGCATACACATGAGGTTTTGATGACTCAGTGAGAACCTGAATACATGCTGTTTAGTGTAAGTGAAAAACATTCAAAGATAAGGCTGTCTCGACCGAGATACAGTGGACAAGACATCAAATAGGAGGCCCCTGGGGATGTAATTAAAGCATACTTCACATTTTTCTGTAGACCAAAGGCCATTCAGTGATGAGTGACTTTTAAAGATAGGCTTTCTTCTGAGGGAGATGGAATTAGTTAGAATCATTGTTTTCATGCACTGTAGCATCAGTTTGCAACAGCACACTTGATCCATGAAGATGCTCTTATTAACTGAAGGCTTTGCCTGTATTAGTTGAATTGCACACTACAAACAAGTCATTTATAATAGGCTTCAGGGAACGTCCATAAACAAAAGTCTTATGATGACAGAGGTAGCCTCCTAGAAAGTATGAATGATTTGCAGTATATGCCTCACTTTTGTTAAGCCTTGGAGATACAGTAATGAATTTTCAGCTATTGGAAGAGCAGGGTGCACAAAGTTGCACATACAGGTCCTGATTCTGCAATGTACTTAAAAAAAAAAAAAAAAAAAAAAAAGGTCTAAATCTAAGCACATGGTAAGTCCTATTGACATCAGCATTCATGTGCTTCAGTTTAAGCATGTGCTTAAGTACCTTGCTGAATTGGGCCCATAATTCTCAGACCAAGATATCGCTCTAGTGTCCAATATAGAGTCAGATTCTCATCTCAGTTACACTGGTGTACATGAGGTGTAACTTCATTGGTTATGTCTGCACTAGAAATTATTTATAAAAAATTCCCATTGTTGCTAGCACTGGTTCAGCTCCACAGATGGTAGCTAGCAATGCTAGTGTAGACAGGGCTTCAAGAAGCCACTGGCATTTTAAGCCAGGGGTTTTCAACCTTTTTCCTGCTGAGGCCCCGCTCAACATGCCATAAAAACACCAGGGCCCGCAGGGGCGGGGGAGGGGAACTCAGGGCTCCGGGTCGGGGGGGGACCCATGGGCATAGGCATAGTTTTACTTCTATTTGGGGGTGGGGCAAAAGCTGGCAGGGCTCGAGCCAGCTCCGCATAGCGGGGTCCAGGGAGGGAGTGCCGCCTCCATCCCAACTCACTTCAGAGGCCACCCAGCCTGTCTGGGTTGTGGGGGGATGCAACCAAAAAATGTAACTCAAAGGTGTATTTGAGATCAAAATCTGGTCCATAATTTAAGGTAGCAGTGGGTGAAATCTGAACTAGTTGTTTGAGATCCATAACTAGCCCAGAATCTCTGTCAGGGTGAAATTCACCCATGATGCAGAGAGGATGGTGCTAGGACCTCTGTATTGTATAAACTCCACCTGGCTTCTGTGCAGGGGGACATGAGTGGAGTGCAGAATGTGCACTATTCACAGCAGACATGGGTTTTGCAAACCCATATGGAACTGATTCAAAGGCTTCAATGACAGCAGACCAGGGAAGGAGCCATAGATCCACGTTTATGGGAATCCAGTGGCTTTAATAGCCTTTGCAATTGATGCAGAGCCACTACAGGGGCTATTGCAATTCATAGCAGCCACAAGAAGTTGGGAGATGCACAGTAGCTCTGCTACACAGGGGAAGCTTTCACTTCCCCAGCCCCTTGACACTTTACTCATATGAATCGAAATAGTTTGGCTATATGTGGGTGGACTGAATTTCATCCCCTGTCATTACCTCCATCATTCCTCTAGCATGTTTCCATATCTTAGATTAGAAGCACTGGCATTAATCACATGGCCCCAATAGCATGCTTATTGCCAAGATAGTTTAGTGAGGAAATTGCTGAGTTTTCAATGGTCATCTGCCAGATGCAGCAAACACCAAAGAGACAATGAAGTAAATTAAGAGTGCCAGAAGTGAGCTGGTGCGAAGGGCAAGATGTTAAAACAATAGAATCTAGGCACGTGTTTGGATCTGGGTTTGCCTTTTTATAGTATAAATAGGTTGACCTAAGTGAAAGTGACTCATGGTTTGGCTTTGTTTGGACCTTGAATCTTATTTTAAAATGGAGAATTAACCAACATAAATGTTGTTTTTCAGCATGGCTTTAAAATAGATGGTTGAACTCTTTAAAAGTGAAGAAATAATACTCCTTTGCCATCTTTCCCTATGGTAGTGTTTAAACTCTTTGCTCATTTCTGTGTTAGCTGACTTCCTTCACAGGAAAATAGAGATTTCTTGGTCTCTAACTGAAATCCAGTCCACAACCACTTTGAGAATACCCCAGGTCACACAGATCAGTCTGGAACCAAATCCAGAAGCCTCATGCTCTAACCCCTGAGCAAATATCCACCCCAAACTAGACCTGTAAGCCTATATTCATTTTTGACACTTTTTCAGAATAGGTCCACATATGGCATATTGCTGCGTATTAGCTGGGCTCTCAATCCAGCTAAGATATAATCATTAGGGTCCAGTTCTAAAGCCTTCACTCAGTTTTATCAGGCAAAACTCTCTATTGATTTTAACTGATTTAGGGAAGAAGTTCAAACTCAGATTTCAAGGCAGAAAATCTTGTAGTGGCAGCAGTAACATGTTGACATCTGATTTCTATTGCTGCTGTTTCTAGGAAGTATTCCAGTTACAATACCAGCATACCCCTCTGGGAGAGCAGTTGTTTGCATTGCAGTGCCTTGTATTGTTTTGTACTATGCCCATTCACACCTTTAGCCTGTAGGCTCCTCAGGGCAGTGATTATGCTGTTTGTCTGACACATTAAATACGTGTATGCAGTGTAGTTGTAGCTGTGTCGGTCCCAGGATATTAGAGAGATAAGGGGGGCAAGGTAATACCTTTCTCACTTCTGTGGTGAGAAAGACAAGCTTTCGAGCTACACAGAACTCTTCTTCAGGTCTTCACAGCTAAATACAAAGTGGAACAGATTACTTAGCATTAGTAGTTAGCAAATATACTAGGTTTCAGAGTAGCAGCCGTGTTAGTCTGTATCCGCAAAAATAACAGAAGTACTTGTGGCACCTTAGAGACTAACAAATTTATTAGAGCATAAGCTTTCGTGGGCTACAACCCACTTCTACACACTCTGTATGTGTTGTAGCCCACGAAAGCTTATGCTCTAATAAATTTGTTAGTCTCTAAGGTGCCACAAGTACTCCTGTTATTTTTGCAAATATACTCAGGGATCATTTAAGGTGGTGTGGCACATTAACACATCTGAAGTCATAGGGCTAAAAGAGAGGGTTAGTGGGTTACAGATTGTTGTAATAAGCCATAAATCCAGTGTCTCTGTTCAGTCCATGATTTTCAGTATCTAGCAGAGTTATGAATTTAAGCTCTCAGGCTCATCTTTTGAAAGTGTTGTGCAGGTTTCCTTTGAGGATGAGGACTGATAGGTCAGACATGGAGTAATCACTTTGTGAAAAGTATTCACCCACAGGTGACTGGAAGTTTTTGTCTTTTATCATTTTTCTGTGTGAGTTCATTTGAGAATGTAGTGGTTTCACCCACATATTGGGTATTTAGTGCACTGGGTAAGGTATGCCACACATGTGATAGGCATGTGTAGGATCTGTGGCTCTTGAAAGGTGTGTTGTGGAAGGTGTTGATCGTTGCAGAAGTGGAAATATGTCTGCAGGTTTTGCATCTGTTGTTCTGGCAGGGTCTGGTGCTGCTTTGAGTTGGTGCGTCCTGGTCTCTGGGAAGCTTGCTTCTGATGATGAGTTTAGAGAGGTTGGGGTGGGGGTGGGGGTTGTTTGGCAGGGGATGAGGGTTCAGGAAAGATTTCCTTCAGGATGGGGTCCCCATCAAGTATGGGTTCTATTTGTTTGATGGTACCACATATGGGTTCCATTGTGGGGTGGTATACCTCATCCAATGCTCTAAATGCCCCAGTAACAACTATGTGGGTGAAATCAGACAATCAGCATGCTCTTGAATGAACTCCCACAGGAAAATGATTGAAGACAAAAACACCATATCACCTGTGGGTGAACACTTCACAAAGCGATCACTACACGTGTGACCTATCAGCCAGACACACAGATACCACAGAATATGCTCTGAGGAGAAAGTCCGTGATACACACCTTAACACCACCTTCACCAAACAAGGACACTCCACCAGAGAAGTAGATCACATCTTGTAATTGGCCACCTGCATACCTCGAGATAGCCTGCTTCAATACAGAAATATAACAACCTCTGACTGCACACCCCTAGTTGTCACCTACCACCCCACACTGGTAGTGTTTTCTTAGCAATAATGCAGGAAGCTTTGGTTTAGACCTAGTTTTTATCTAAGTTTCTCAAATTCTCATTTTTTGATAATGGATTTATTGAGACAGCTGTTTAAAGAGAGGTCAGTAGTGGGAAGTCAGTCTTGCTGACACAGTCTTTGGGGAAGTATTCTGACTGTCGTCTTGTGATTAACTTGTGTCTTTTGGTAATCTCTCTAACATTATATGGTAAATTCTAGAACCATATGACTGATT